CGTGGACTTCAACTCCCAGAATTCCCCAGCCAGCATGGGGGTTGAAGTCCACGCATCTTAAAGTGGCCAGGTTTGAAAAACACTGAACTAGATGATCCTTGTGGTCCTTTCCAGTTCTCCGATTCTATTCTCTGAAGTGACTCTGAGCATCTTATGCTCCTCCTTACAGTATTATGGTTAAAATGCAATGAATTCCTCACCGCCCCCATGCCCGTAGTACAACGGTAAAATAATGCCGCGCTGTGTGCGTGACCCCACCTGGCAGGCAGATCAGCCTGAGCATTTGGGAGGGCTACGTTGGCAGACCTCCGCTGTGCTCCAAAGAGTCTGGGGAGAGATTGCGTTCTTCGACCCTTTTGGATTTTTCACAGCTCTGCTTCGTCCTCTGCAAAGGGCCTGCACGCTCGGATTAAGTCTGAAAAGCCCTGCAGCCAAAGCACGCAGGCTTCCCTCTTTGTTCCTCTTCTGCTCGACTCCCCTCTGTGTAGTCTTGCAAACTGGCTGGGTCCTGACCTTCTTTCTATTGTTTGGTTTCAAGACATTTAGCTTCTGTCAACTTCTGGCTATTTATGGGACCCTGCTGTCACTCCTGAACCGCCGCCAGGTATTTTGTACAGAGCAAAATCCTTGAAAGAGAATTCATATTGTTTTGCAGAGCTGGCAAGGGGTGAGGCTGGAGGGATAAAAATAGCCCAAAGCGGGCAAGAGGGGGGCAACGATTGGGGGCTTCTATAATAAAACAAAGGAAAAGATAAGCACTTTAATTTCCATGGACATGAGTACACAAGGCTGTGTTTTTCTCTTAACCGCCTGCTTTTTTTTTATGTCAGCACTTTCCATTAAAAGCCATCTAGGAAAAGATTTGTAGCTTCAGCCAACTTTATTTGCCACAGGGGCTCTTGAATACTTCGGATTTCAGCTGAATTGTTGCATGGACTCAGGGCCCCTGTTCATATCACCTGGAGTTAGGTAGATGTAGAGCAGTGTTTTTCAACCTTGGGAACTTGAAGATGTGTGGACTTCAACTCCCAGAATTCCCCAGCCAGCATGCTGGCTGGGGAAT